TAATCTATCCTCTCTGTTAACTGTTATGTGTGAATGAAACAGGCAGAGATGGAGACAAAATTATCTCTGTTGTTTTAATTTGAATTTGGCTTGTTTTTCACCCATTACGTTGCCATGGTTACTCAAAATTCCAACAGAGCCCGCATGCCGAGATCCAGCTGCATGGCTATTGTAAACTTTTAGTTGGACACATAACCTTAAAATAAAGTTTTCCAGAAAGTTTAGCTCCATGAAAACTTATTTCTTTACCCAGGGGAAGGTCTGGTGGTTTAACTTGTGCACTGGGCACCGGCCGTGGGGCTCCAGGATGAGTGTCCGGGATAGGCCGAGGGGCCCCGGGATGCACATCAGGAGTGGGCCTTGGTGCACCCGGGTGAGATGGAGGCTGCGGGCGAGACTGAGGGGGCATGCTGATCACTCCAGCTCGAGGAGGAATATTCTGCAAGATGAAAATTGAGAAGATAATCATCGCAACATAAAACTGGATGAGGGTAAATGTTCTGCGAATGCTACAAGCTGAGTGGATGAACTGAAAAAGTTATTTCATAGCTGAAGAAGAAGCAGAGCAATATAAGAGTCAATAGTGGGAACAAAAGTTGTAATTTATGATACATTTCTTAACATGACACAGACAATAATAATAATAATAAAAAATAATAATATTTTAGATCTAAATACTGGTCGAAAACTCACTGGTCTGGAAGCTCCTCCAGGTCCTGGAGCTCCTGCCTGTCCTCGACCTGAGAACATTAAGACAGACAAAACAATAATTTTTAAGCACATATTTCAAGCAATAATATTTAGTTTTGGTCCTATTTTAGAGATCTGTACGGAAAACACATGCAATAACATATTTTATTACTTTGATATGATTAATCAAATGAAAACAACAAATCACAATTTAAAGCAGTTTATCCAGCACATGCTATTCTATGGATGACTATGTTATCAAAGATGGCTCAGTCCTTCCACAGCTCCAGGAGGTCTGGCAGACACACGGGCCTTTTTTTGTAACCCAATTGCTCACAACACTATAAGGATTCTCCTCTTCTTTCACTATTCCCTTACCCAGACCCTCCTAAAGCCTTCAAACATTTTCCCACAACACTTAAATGTCTTCTTCTGTCCTGTCGAGTCACCAATCGTAAGTCAACCCTGCCAACCACACAGCCTCTTACTATGCAAGAGGGAATCGGCTAACCACAAACACCATACAAATGTCTCAGGTGCAGACAGGCAAAGTCGGCGATTGGCTAGACATCCAAACTTTATCCTCCACCTCAGGACAAGCACATTGTGTGTCAGAACACAAGCACACAAAACAGGATTATAGGAGGGAGAGGGAGGTATAATCTCACCACATTATCACAAGTACAAATAAACGTCACACAAAGAGACCTTACATAATCACCAAATAAACTTTTATCCTCGCTGAATGCATTCATGCTAAATGCAGCTACGTCGTGCATAGCGGCACTCACCTGCAGGAGCATCTGGCCGAGGAAGAGCAGGGCTCTTTGGTCCTTTGCAGCACAAAGCAAACCAAATTACACTAAAGTTACACACAAAGCAGCTAGCTAGTCACCAGATGCAGGCGTTCCAAAGGAAAAAAAATGGCTAGTAGAAGCACTTAAAAAAAAAAAAAAAAAAAGCATGTGATGGAAATATTGTAGCAAAGCAGTGACGCTTGAGGAGATAAAAGCTGAATGATCTGTCTAAGGAGGACTTTTCCATTTCCCATCATGAAAAACAACCTCAAAGATAAACCCACTTTATCCCTTCAGATACACATACTCTGGTCTCTATGAAAAATATGCATCTAATTATAGATTTGTACACAAATTTTAATGAATTAAAATAGTAAATGTGTTCATTTTTTCCACAGTAGTTCAACACAAAATGTGAAACGTATGAGTTTATGTTCATTTTGAATATGTATTGTATTATTTTATGATACATTATATAATATTATATTTCAATCAAAATGTTCTTCATAAAATGTTACTTTTTGCCCATATTACACCATATGCTATCATGGGCAAGACTAATGACAAAAGGTTATTGTGAAAGAGACCTGCTGTTCACAGAGTGCTGTATCCATGCATATTAATGGAAAGTTGAGTTGATGGAGTAAGAGTGGGAGAACAAAATGGGCAAGCAATAAGGATGACCGCTGTCTTCAGAGGATTGTGAAGTCAAGCCCATTTAAGAGTTTTCAGGAGATTAACAAGGAGAGGAGTGAAAGTGAAGTTGATGCTTCAAGCGCCAGGACACACAGATGTTTGGCCACGGGACGTGGGATGGGATACGACTGTTGTTCAGTGGTCCACAGTGTTTTTGTCAAATGAAAAAAACATTTTGCATTTAGTTTGGAAATCAAGGTTCCAGAGTCTGGAGGAAGAATGGAGAAGCAGAAAATCCAGGTTCCTCGAGGTTCAGAGTGACGCTTCTAGTGTCCGTGATTATTTGGGAATGCTTATCTGTTGGAGTTGCTCCACTGTGGTTTTGAAGTGCAAATTCAGAGCAGCTCTCTACAAAGACAGTTTACCGCACTTCCCTCTGATGGCAAACATTATGGAGATGCTAATTTTGTTTTCCAACAGGAGTTGTCACCTGCTCAAACTGCTAAAAGTACCAACAATAACTTTAATTACTGGGATGTCCACTGTGCTGGACCTGATCTAATAGAGAACCTATGTTATTTCAGTAGAGGAAGATGGCAGAGAACAGAGGCAAGAATGCAGACAAACTGAAGGCTAATAGTAACGTCTAATAACTAGAACTTTCTGAACACCTCAGTGGTGTCATAGGCTGATTGAGTCCATGCAGGCCTGCACTGATGCAGTAATTCAAAGAAAACATACTGATTTTTCATGTTTTCCCTCACTGAAAGTCTTTAACAAAAACAAAATGAGTTTCAGTTTTTGATTTGAATTACATTTTTGAAAATATTGTAATTTATTAAGCTGCATTTGTAATGTTCACTGTAATCGTGACTGCAGTCCCATTAAAATGGATCTGCACAATTGCTGAGTATTAAAAACAGATGAGAATGAATTGTGCTTGAAGGAAAGAAGACAAGCTTCTTTCACTGATTTTGTTTCTGTGGTGGTTTACATTTCTTGCATTTAGTAACAGATTAATCACGTCTCAATCACACCTACAAACAAGACTAAAATGAACCACAATAAAGTAGGGGTGTAAACAATACATCAATCCACACTGATAAATCAATTAAAAGATTAGACTAATGATCCAATTGCATCAAAGCAAACAGAAATATCATTGTCATCTTTAAGATGATACAGGGTGAATGATCTGCATTTGAGATTAATCTAAAATTTTTTGAGACACTAAAAATGAATGAAAGTTTAAAATCTGCTTTCATCCATATCAAAAGTGATTTTTAAAATGTTGATATGTGTTATGTTTGTTTTCTTTAAGACTGAAACGTCATCAGGGGCATTTAGGTTAAATAAGAAAAAAAAATGCACTTAAATATGAGAAATGTGAGACTATACTGAACAAGTGATCTATTATTTATTTTTATCAAGAATAATGTTTTTTTTATATTGAAATCTGAAACTGAAATCACTTTGAAATAAAGTGATCAAATCATATTAAGTTGTTTTTGTAGGTTGCTAATTACGAAATGGTTGTGTTAGATGGGCATATATTGCATATTATTGAAATCATACAGAGTTTGTGATATTGAGTAACATTGTACTGTCATCCAAACAAATTGATACATTATTGTATTGTGATAAACTTTTGATTTACACCCTTACAATAAAGCAGTGAAAGTTAACACAAACCATCAATGTCAAAATAGCCTCACTGACATTGATGACTGGGTCTAAGACCGAAGGAATTAGGAAACATTCAAAAACTCCTGGCTCGTTACCTTCACTGCCTCTCCTACCGAGCAGTGGGCTGGGACATTTGCCACTGTCTTAAAGAGGAAAACAAATGATATTTTTCTTTAAAACAAAGTAGAACAGAAAAAATATCAACAGATAAAAGTAAAGATTAGTCACAGTGTTCAGGTAAAACCTATATCCTAATTCCCAAATTCACTTACTGTCATGTAAAACTAAACTAAAGTACAAGATCATCTTTCACCTATAGGAAGGTTTTTAGGACCTACAAAAACACCATACAAGTATGTTACTAACAAATTACACCAATTACAAGGGGAAGTAGTCAAGCATTTAAAATACCAAGCTAATGCGTCACATCAGGAGTTGGATTCTACCTCTATTCAGACAAAAGATGCAAAACCTCCTTTACTCCTCAAAAACAGTAGGACAATTTGATCATTTATGACCAGTTTTTTTCTTGTACATAACACTGAATCAACACTTACTGACTGCTGTGCATAGTTCTAATGGAAAACAGCAAGCACCAGCATAAAGTAAATCAGCCACAAAAGTACATCAAGACATCATCCAGTAACTTTAACTTTACCTCCAGAGTACTTTCTAACAGGCTGAGGGCTCATGCCACCTTCATGGGTTTGGCAAAGCAGTGGGATAAAAGTGACAAGTTACTATTTCCTCTGTAGAGAACCATAATTAAAACAGCAGGATTTTAATTAGTTGCCCCCACTTAAGTTGGGCTAATTTGACAAAAGTAATAATGCTTTATGTCATTCTATTACAGAGAAGGCTGATGGGGTGGTACCTGAAGGTGGTGGTGGTCGTTGAGGTGGAGCTGGTCTGGCTGGAGGAGCGTTGGGCCGTGGTGGAGGAGGCCGCTTGGGCTCCAGGCCAGGACCTGTGGGAGCACCAGGCTGGAAGTCTACAGGAGGCCCTTGAAGGAAGAGGTGCAGAGTGGCTTGTTGTATTAAATATATTGTGGCAGTTTAACTTCTAAATCAATACGGCATAGAGTCATGTCCATAACTGCTTAGTTTATTTTACATATTTCTTACAATTTCATGAAACACATCTGTGAAAACACGCACAGCTAAAAGCTCTACAACAACAACAACAACAACCTGTTTTCTCTTTTGGTATCAAACTCACCCCACACTCCATAAGAACAAAACACTAACAAACGCTATGTTCACTTGAAAAGATCAGTATGCCCTGTGCTCCTTGCCAAACACGCGTCCTAGCTGGAAGCCCACGCTTCTCCAAATTGCATATACAATCTGACATTTTCATGCAGCAGTTTAAATGCAAACCATGTTCATAACTTTGAAAGAGTAGCCCTGGCATTGCATTTACCTATAAGGACAAGGAGTAGAAGAAGTGAGGTAAAAGGAAAAAGCCAATTCTTTAGGTTAATAAATACAATAAACAACATTTCAAGTTGCATATGAGCTGATCAAAGTATTGACGGTGTTTGGTTCTCCAAAGTAAAGATTATAGGCCAGTCCTAATTCAGGGTAAAGGGGTCTTACGCAGGTGTCATATAAAACATGATGCAATCCTGGAACACCTTATAGAAACACCTTGTGGTTTGTGTCCATTTTTTGCCCTATTGTTTACCATTCTGATTTGATCAAAGCAAAATGTACACAGCGCACATCAACACCACACAGCAAACTGTGCCTCAGAGGGAAACACTATTCTAAAACAGACAAGTGGAAACCAACACAGATTGCATTATCACTCATTTAATTACCTGCTGTTTCTCTCCTCTCTGACGATGGGCTTAAATCTGCTTCCACTTATTACAAACACAACGAAATCACAGTTTACGTTCCAGCCAATTGAGACTACTAGCTGTGCAGATGATTTGAGGAACATCACTGTAGTTGACCAATTTATTTATGCTGAGTGATGTCATTACCTTGTGATGGTCGAGGGGGTTGTTGTCCACGACTTGGTCTATTGGGAGCAGCGGGTTCTCCATGAGTAGGAGAGGGACAGGGACTACCGCGTGGGGACGGCAGAGGTGAGGATCCAAAAGAAGAGCCTGCTCCAGGCTGCAGGTGCTGGGGAAGGATGTCTTCCACCTCATCATCCACGTCACCTGGAGCAGCAGACAAGAACGAATGGTTAGAACATTTCTACAAACCTCAACATAGATAAGTACAATTTGTTGACAACTCCTGACCTTCCATATCATAATCTTCATCACCCACGTCCACGTCTTCAGCAAGCAAGGTCGAACTGGCTGAAGTGGGAATGCTGCCGCAGATCCTTTCCACACTCATTTCCTCCTCCAGACTCTTGATCCACCCTGGACTCCTCAGGCGGATGTCAATCACCTTGTCCAGAACCTGCAATGCATACCAGCAAGGTGAGCAGAAAAAGGCTGAGGGGTTCATTCCAACAAATTAGAATAGGAGCCAACTTACAGTGGAACCACTGAGAGAGAGCGCAGCCAGAGCAGAGTAACCTTCCAAGAAGGTCACCCACATTTTCTCCTCAACAAACCTGCATGAAAAATTGCACAATTAATCGAGAATAAGAGGCTGAAGGTGGAACACAGCCGGATCTCTGTCCTTGCATGTTAGCCTCACCTGATGAGGATGACTTCTCCAAAATTAGCAAACTTATCAAGCAGCTCATCAATGAGTTCATCACTAAAATAGTCATCAGGCCCTGAGGAGCAGAGGGACACCAAGATGGTGCCATCTGGAGGCCCCTGCAGGGCAATAACGTCTTTGTAGACCTGGTGTCGTTCCTCAGGGTCCACCTCCAGGATGTCCACATCTATTATTGCTACCACAGGCCTAAAGAGAAATATCACAAAACATGGAAGAGACATGAATTACTGGTATTATTAAACTGTCATTAATCATCTTGGATTACAGAGATATCATGATGGTTACCTGTGATCTGAGGTCTTGAGCTCAGCCCTGCCATAGTACTTTAAAGTCCCAGGGCTCCAGGTCAGGTCTGGATTATCCTCAGCATCTCCAGATGTAGAGGCTGCACCTACAATGTTCATCTCCTCAGCTGTAAAACAACCACAGAGTAAAAAAAAACAACAAAAAACAAATGTCTAAATGCAATTCTTCAAAACTTTACATACATGTTTATAAATGCAAAATGGCATTACTGCATTGTTTGCTGGTCAAAAGGTTACAAGGATTAGGTTTAAGATGCCCTGCATCTCACCTGTTCTGTTAAAGTTCCACTTTCTCCTTTTCCAAAGTATGCGGTCAGTCCATGCTGGTGTGCGACACTTCTCGCTTGTGTCATAATCTTCTGAGAAGAGGTCATACTTGTAGGTGGGGGCAAAATCCAGGTTTCCCTCAATGAAACCTCGGAAGACCTGCAAAGATATATGAAGGTTTGCACTAGGGCTGTAATGATTAATTGTGATTAATCGATTATTGGCGTAACTGTCAACGAATTCAGTAATCGATTAATCGTTAACTGGCATATACAGAGTAAAAAAAAAGACCATTTGCTGAAAGAAGTACATATTCAGACAGTGATTAAGGCAAAACTTTATAAAACAATTACAAGTTTTCATTTAAGATAAAATGTAAAATGTGTTAAAATGTTCAAGATGCATAGTATAAACTTCAACTGGTTCAAATTCTCATATTAAGCACATTTAGCTATCCAATTATCAATTTGTTAATCCAAAAAAACAATAAAAACACACACACAAAAAAAACAACAACAACAGATCAGCCCGACAGTTAAATCAAGAAGAAAAGACTGAGATTTTCACATGTTAATGCTGTAAATATTTTTGTAGTTGCAGATTCATTCTTTGCTAGTGTACAGTAAAGAAATGCAATGTTATTGTTTTTTAGGTAATTAAGTATTTTCTTATTTAAAAATGAAATTGAATTGTTTAATTTTTGCATATTTTAATGCATTTCATTTTGGTGTTGAAATTAAAAATCTGCAAAATGTGTTCATTTTCCTTTTTAGCCGACTGATCGTCAGGATAATCGATAGAATTATTACTCTCTAAGTAAGGTAGCGTTACTGAGCCAGTTTGCATAATCCAACAAAACTGCAATAGTTGGTCACAGTTATTAAAAAAATAATTGCTAAAATTGCTGGGTAAAATTGCTAAACCCCCCCACATTTAAACTTTTATAATACGGTGCAGAACATGCATAGAAAATCTATTCTGAATCAGTCTTAATACACCATCATATAGTGACAAATGATACTAATGCAGTGAAGATGTGTTCTGCAGATCATACCATTCCTGTGTTCTTCTGTTCCAACAACTGATCACCAGCTGTTAAAGCATCCCAGTTCTGCTGCTTGATGAGCTCCTTCACTTCCTCGTTGGGCAGGTTGATTCGGTAGTTGAAGTCTCCGCACCAGAACACGTAATCGTGTGAATACAGCAGACGACCCTGCAGGAGAGGATAAATGTTATCTCAAGTGCAGTTGAATCCAAATACAACATTTGTGACCAGAACTGCCATTACCATCGGGAAACTGAGTCTGCGAGTGATCTCATTGTAGTCGTCATTCCTCTCTTTAACCTGAGACTGGCCGGCAGCGAAGTGGGAGCAGACGAAGCAGATGCTGGTGGTGTGGAACAGCAGGCGGATGGCGACACCTCCCTTATTACCGGTGGCCCCGCCCATTCCGGTTTTCACTGTATCTACAGCAACATCCCTGCAACATAACGAATGAAAAACTCGCAAGGGTTTTCTTAACACTCGTAGTCATCAAGTGTTTCTGATCAGAATCTGCACCATTTTTACCTGATGAAGGGTGCGTGCTGAGGACGGATGAAAACAAACAGGCACACTCCCACCAGCTGCTCAGAAGCAAGCAGCACATACTTGTGGTCCCTTGAAATGTTTTTCTGGAGCTCAGCAGCCCACAGTTTCTGGTTAGTAGTGCTGAGACAAAGAAGAGATGAAGAGCACCAACATTAAAACAAGAAAACAAAATCAACTCAATATTACTGTTTATTAAGGTTTAATACCTTTTAAACATAAGTAGTCTTAGCACTTTTGTAGCCCTTTTAAATTTTGTAATGTTTCAATTTCAGACATGAAATGTGCTGTATTCTAAAGAGATGGTATGTGACAGATCACAAAGTAATTGCTGAGCTGTTACAGACACACCCCAAAAGACTTGTTGTAGCTGAGGCTGCAGCAAAAGGTGATTCTACAAATAACTGAGAAGAGAATAGAACCACCTGCTGCAGACACTGCTGCAAAATGTTTGAAGGTGTGTCTAACAGTCACATACTGTAATATGCTTTGTACATTTTAATACATTACAGTTGAAATGTATTGAGTCCATTATGAACTAACTGCAGGTTATTGATTGGCACATACCTGGCACTGACAATGTTCCCAGCATTCAGTTCAACCATTTCTTCAAAGCCGATGGCAAAGATATCTATGGGGTTGGCTTTGCTGTCTGTCAAGAAACAAAAGTAAACGGTTGTCGTTCAGTGAATGTGTTTAAAGAAACAGTCAACAGTTAAAGGGTAATGATCTTATAAATAAAAGTTTGTGCTAAACACAACGGACATTTACTGAAAACAGATCAGCTGTAATCTTTGTCAGTTTATTTCAATTTCATCAATTGTCTCTTTCTAATAGTCATAGATTTATCTTAAACTTAACCATTTCTGTGCTGACTTATAAACTAAAAAGGAGGGATGGATTGATTGATTTGCTTACTGGATCACCAATGTCCACTTTCTGATTTAATATCTAGTGTACACACTTCTTTATTTAATAATAACATTTGAATATTTACAGCACCTACTTCAACTAAACAAATAGGATACATACTCAAGGGGCCATTACCAAGAAATGACTGTAGACAAATTAATAGAAACATACCCTGGAACTCGGGATGTCCTGCCTTTTTTGGAGCATCCAGCAGCCAGTCGTTCAGTGTCTGGTTGCGAAATGCGATGCTGCGAAACTGCTTGCCCCCGTTGACGTTCCAGGTCCCGACACAGACCCGGATTTGCTTGGGCTTTGTGTATTTATGGTGACTCTGACACATTCCTAGCAACACTCTTGGAGAGGCTGCAAAGGAAAGGACGTGCGGATTAGATGCCAAAACATGGGAACGTGCACGTCAGAAAGGAGGTTTGGAGGAAGATGAAACAAAGAAGGGGAAAATACTGATGAAGAAAGTTATTATATTCAAAACACAACAGAGGAAATTCACTAGAATGTTTAAAAACAAAGGTTATGGGAGGATGACTTTAGCTGTGACCACTTCACTGAAAACATTCACAAAGCAAACCTTGGTAGTGGTTTATAGCTGTCTGTAAATACCTACTGAAAACATGTTGAAACATCACTGCAAAAAAATATCTAGTCCATTTTAGTTTAATCATTGCTGCAACTATATAATAAAACAGACAGTGGAATAGACCACAACCAATGGAGAGAAAAAAAAAAAAGACAAAACAACTATATGACAGGGCAGGAAAACATATCTATCTGTTGCTTGCAGTCCATCAGTTACTATACCTGATTGTAAGACAGGCTCAGTGACTAAGATTGTTTGCAAATGGGAGAGAAGGAAGAAAGTTGTAGGTTAGCATCCCTTCAACAGATAATAGCCGGTAAATATTAAATCAGTCGAGTCAGGGCTCCCTTCAAGATTCACAAGGTTTCTTTAGTGCTGCTGAGAAGCCTATGTCTCCATAGCAACCATTAAACATTGTCTTCATGACAATTAGTTGGTATGAAAAAAATAAATAAAAATCAGGTCAACAATGGTTTAAAATACATGACCCAAAAAATGCAGAAATTACTCAGTGCCCAGAAAAACAACTGAGTTTAAAAAGAGGAATTGTGCAGAGAGGAATCTATAAGAATCCTAGCCTCTAATCTAACCATCTGAATTGTTATAAGGTATGACTAAGTGTTGTGCTATTGGCAAAAGAGGGACATTAAAAACATTAACAGCTGGGATGCCAATAAGTGTGGCAACCAGTGACAATTCCAAATTTTTTCATCACTGAATCAATGTCCTCAAGTGAAAGTACTTGAGAGATTATCTAACAGCAATGAAGACAGATTTATTTTAAGGCTTTTTATAAAGCTAGCCAGATGAGCCAACAAATGTGGAGGGCGGTGTAAGAAAAAGTTAAAAGGAGATAATAATTACATTGTATTCTTTCTTTGCATTGTTTTTTGTGTCTAACATTGCTCAAAATGTTGTTGTTTCTTTATGTTACAAAAGTTTAAGCAAAGTGCAGCTCATTGTTTCCACAAATGTTCCACCAAATAAAAAGGCACTTCCATCATGTTGCAGAAAATTACCGTAAAGACTGGAAGTGGTGAGCAAGGCTCGCGCTTTGTCTGCTAAATCACTGTTAAGCGTGGATCCCAGCCTCAAGATGTCTATCGCCTCCTGCTTGGAGCTGTCGAAGAAGTTGTTCTGGATGGTCCGTGTCACAGAGCGAGCGCCATCTTTGAGCTTTCCAGCCTACAAGAAAAGAATATATACATATATATTTAGCATCCAACCAGTAAACAAAGGCACGGTCAAGAAGTATTGGTTAAAAATGTACATTTTTCACCACTGCGGGATGGAAAAAAAAAAAAAGAACAAGGAGGAACATTCTAGAGAGATCTGTCAGATTTAAAGCTCTCAGTGGTGGATTTCAATTATCTTCTGGACAAGTTTAAGATTTCATTAATGACCACTAGGTGGCAATCTGGACAGATTTCTCTAAATTCAAAGAAAGACTTTGCATTTCATTGGAAGGAATAAGTATAAGTGTAATTGCTACAAGTAAAAGAAATTAAAGTAGTTTTTTCCCCTCTTTGTTTCTCTTATTTTTGAATTTCTGCTCGCAGTGAGAGGAAAGTTTAATGAGAGCGTATATTTTCAGAAGGACAATCAAAGAGAAGTAAACAAGATTTGTCACCTATCCCAAACTCCATTCTCATTTATATGAAACCATCATATACACAGGACACCAGAAATAGACCCATAGCTTAAAGGCAACACCAACCATCCTAATAACTTACCACATAGGTGGAGAGGTCCACAGGTTAGCCAAAAGACATAATGCACATAATTAAAGAAAAGAATTTCTACACAGAGGATTAAATATTCATGCAACTGTTATAATGCAATCATTATCTTGCATTCTTACAGAAAATTGCAGTCTATGAATTAGTCTCTAAGAGGTGATGGCTGAATATATTTAAAGCAATAAAGAAATCATTGATATCCTAATTGTGCTCATGCAATTCATTGTTTGGAATCTAAACTGGAGCCGGGTAAAGAGCCATGGGTTCAGCATAAAGCCCTAATCTAGGAGGGTATAAAAGTTAAAAAATAAGATAAATTGATTTTTTTTTTTTACTTTTTGTGTGTGCATTTATCAGATGTATCCAGACTTGAAATGGTACAAAAATGGTGTTAAAATCCTGGATAACATCATTTACAGTCGCATGTTATTAGCCTGCAAAAACTACTTGGGTAACGCTACATCACACATTGGAGCAGAATCTATGGAAGCGGAAGTGTTGCTAACCTGCATTATAAAATACCTAAATAATTGAAAACTTCTCGTTATTCCCAAGAATTAAATTGTTTCACTACATACCTTGGCCTTCCCATCCAGAGCTCCAGTTCCTGCATAAATCTTACTGACGGAGTCTCCGTTAGCAGACCACATGGTCCTGAAAACCTCCTGGAACCGGGCCACCAGCTGTGGTTTCTCTGTCAGACCCATTTGTTCTAACTGTCTGGGCAACATCTGAATGGAAGGAGGCAAAGGGAATTTGAATAAACGACAAATCTATAAAATCTTTCAACTTCAGGCATTAATGTACACCAAGCTGGACACAAACCTCAAGTGCAAAGAAGGCTTGAACACTGTTGGTTCTATCCAAACAGTCCAGGCAGTTACTCCTGATGGTCCCTCCCTGAGTCCTGAAAAAAAATAAAATAAAATCTGATTTATGCAACTGCAAAATGCAATAATTTAACATTTGATGGAACCCGACTTATCATTATTGTAGTTCCTTTCATTTTTTTAAACTTGCAAGTCATTAGAGAATAAATGTCTAATGCTATAGATTTAGACTTCTATACTAAATGCCTCCCAATCAAACCTGTGATACTTAATTTCTCACTTGCATAACTGGAAAGACCTGAGGTACTTACAGAATGTCTGTATTTACACAAAGATTAAATTGAGCATAGGTGAAGCCTATATTCTGATTAGATGCTTTCTGATGGCAATTGTTCACTAAGCTGTATCAGAGTAAAGAGGGCTAATGAAAAATTGACATTTTTCATTCCAAAATAAATTCAAAAAGTCAAGAAAATATCCATTATGTTCCTTGAGAGATATGCACCACTTTACATTGTTCCATCAAATTAAGTTGAACATTGTCTTTGTACTATGACTAGAAAATGTTCAAGTACTTTTGGAAAGCTGTGGAAAAATGTGTTTTTGACAGTTTTACTAAAGGCCCATGGAGATTATTGATCACTTAGATAAATGTTTCAGCTGCTGGATAACACAGCAATGACAACCATGGACCATGAGCTCAGAGGTGCCCTCTAATAGATGGTCTGCATACAACTGGATAGAGTCAAGTAACAGTGTTGCCAAAGAAGGATTAATTAGCAAATAGTATGTTACAACAAGATGATGACTATGTCTATTAAATAATAGAAGTTGTAACAATTTGAGTCAAATTATTCAAAAGAATAAAAGGGTGACTGGGCAAAGAGACATGAGGAGATATACCAAAATAGGGTGGACATAATCGTAAAGAGCAGATGTGAGATGTGAGGCTAAGCTGGGCAACCTTTAAGAAACCCTGATCACAGAGTTTCAAATGAAGGGTTTTGTAAACTCAGAGCTCCAAAGAGGGAAACCTAGATTGTTTTTAGATGCGATGGAGACAACTAACAAGATGAGGAATGTGTGAGCATGGCAACTGCGGTTGAAAAAAATACCTGTTATACTGGTACTTCAACTGTAAGAAAAGGACCAGGAAAAGATATACAAATCTGTACGGTAAGAAGAACTTTTGCACCTTACAATGCCTTTTTCACCGGAGTAGTAGAAGAACCCGCACTCGTCTATGAATTTACTCAGCTGTGGTTTCAGAACACTGCTGAGTTTATCAGTCTTGCCACCCCTCACATTTTGATGATAGTCAAAGTTAACCATTCTCACTGCTGTGGCATGTTCTGAAGCCTTCAGGTGATTCTGAGGGAGAGAAAAGGGAAGAGCACATATTTGTTAATATTTAAATATAATCCAAAGATGTATAATGTGCAGTTGTGTGGCCTGTAAACATACAGCAGTTTCCATTCATTATGCAAACTAAGTTTTTTTGATCCACAGGAAAGCTTGTATGGCAACGTGCTTTATAAAAAAGGCTCAAGCTCATTTCAAGCTTGTAATGCTGTCACATTTGCTTCTTATTTTGAAAATGTTGAAGATCTTAAAGTTTTTTTTTTTTAATTGCACTTTTCTCTTTGCTAACTGACTGGGCAGAAAAAAACGAGCAGGAAGCGACACATTCTGTGTTGAGCAAAATCCTCCGCTCTGGAGAGGCAGTAACAGTTCAATATTTTGCAAGCTTACACAAAGCAATGTGCAGTAAAAAAGGCCTCTTACGACACATCTTCAACTGTTTCACTGAAATCCTGTGTTGTTGTCTGCATTAGATAGAAATCCTTTAGTAAAAACAAAAAAGACAGTTAAATCTCACCTGAAATGCTTTGCTGAGCATATGTTCCCCTTCTTTGCTTCCAAGCAAGTTGATGATCACCTGTTTCCCATACAAACTTCGCAGTGCAGTGAAGTGTCTGCAAAACAGATCCAGGCATATAGTGCATTTATCAAATACAAGCGGTTACAAAGTTGATAGCAATAATCATAATTATCTTTAAGTAAATGCACTGTAGCTAGGTTTTAGGTTAGTTTGAACATGACACAACAACAAAACATTGAATAATACCAATAAATATAATTAGATTTAAAACTGCAAACAGTATAACTGTTCAAAGAGCTACCAGACCAAGACATTAACACTTTTCAGTGTGTGACTTGCTAGTCAAGGAAGCAGCTGTACTCTGCAACACTGAGGTGTTAAACATGGCAAAGGGACCCAAAATGATGCAATAAGCAAATTAAAAGGAGCAGAAAGAAAAGTTGGTTAACATCTGCACCACAAAAACAGAAGACTGGAAGTTGGCCATATTCCTCATTGCTTAATTTATAATTAATGGCAGTATGTATGTGCTAGCCTTGTACAATCAAATAAGTTCTGGAAAAACACAGTTAAAAAAGTGGCTGCTGTGGATTGATAAGGAGGGTTCCAGTACTATTTGGGTGTGGTACAGATTTTAAACCAGGAAGGCATGGTTCACACCCCAATCACAAAACAACCGAAGTGTAAAGAAAAAGAGCATTTATCACCATCTGATTTCTAAAGTATACTGGAAAGGACAAGAATACCTGGTCATTTAAAGCCAGAAAATGAGTCAATTTTTTTTTATTTTTTTTTTTTTTTTATGTAAAACCGATGAGAAGTTAAGAGGGGCTGAAGTTGTCTGTAGAGCTTCTGCATGTTTCAGCTGGTTATATTTACAAATATTTAGAAAACCTTTAAAATAACATTTCCTTTCAAAATTAAAGGCCTAAATAAAAAAACAAAAACTTCGGTAATTTAATTATTTAACGCAAGTTACTTAGAAACTATGATTCTTTAATTTATCTTGGTCATTTTTGGCTCTCTTATGAGAGTTATTTGCGTTAGCAAGTTTCTTAACTTTGCCTTTTATGCAGCAGCATAATACAATAAGTACCTGAACTGTTATTGATATAAAGTTAAAGCCAACTACTGAAATCTGTTTCTCAAGACAAATTTAGTTAATGTCACACACTTCTAAAGGAGCTAGTAATGGTAAGGTAACAAAAATGTTTTATTTCAATTCACTTAGCTACAATAAACCCACAGATTTGTTTGTGAGGAAGGCTGAACGTTAAGCAATAGGCTCCTGCTCTGCATCTATTGTAGCATTGTAATTCCTAGGTCCGAAGTTCAACACACATTGCATGATAGTTGTCAGCACTTGTCTCAAAACAAAAAAAATCTAATTGTATGAAAAAGGAATAAGTTTAGAAAAGTAATGGGGGTACTAATTTAAGACACAACTAAAAGGACATTTTAAAAAAAATGTGACGGAAAACCCTGCAGGGTTTCTGCAAAGACATGCAGAAACCACATCTTTGACATTTCCACTGAGGGTTGTAAACGTGAAAAAATGTATATTAGCTAAAAGATATAGTAGAAAATGAGGGGTATGTGGTAACAACTGAGCTGTCCAAGTTGAAAAAAAAAAGTGCAAAGATTAATGCCAAAAATCCTGCATCATAATTCGTTTCCAAATGTGATTTGTATCTTTGTGTTGCCTGGAAACAGAAGTGGAACTTTGTAAATCCAGCAATTTTGGACCAATGGATTCAAACTATTGAGGGGATTTATTTAATGAAGAAACTGAAAACTATTTCAGAAATGGAACTCTTCCAAATGCAAATGTTACTCTGTCACCTGAAGATAGAGTAGAATATATAGGGACAAATATTAGACTGAATCAAAAGCATCTCCCATGATGTTTGACAATGTTCATGTCACATCAAAAATACTGTATATTTGGTAGGACATTGTTGATGAAGAGCTATTAATGTGTCCTTGGTGTTCCCAGCAACAATATTAGCATTTCAGTCTTAATCCTCTCCTGTTTTCAAGCCTTAGCTACTCTCAACCAGGAGGCAAAGAGATTTTCAGAAGGCCATCAATCAGCTGGAATCAAGTAAAGCAGAAGAGAAGAAGTGCAACTGAAGTCACTCATAAAAGATCCACTTAATCTTTTAATTACCTTTCAAAAGCTGGTGCATTTGCCTCAAATCCCCTTGAGAGTTTGACACGATGGGACCCCACCTGCAAACACACAACCCACAGTGTCCTACTTTGGTAAAGTACAAAAAAAATAAATTTAAAAGACCCCAAAAAAGATAGAGTACGCATTGTGTGGATTCCCAGAAAACCTGAGAAAGTGAAACAGACATTTGTGCACTTGAAATAGACAGATGAGGCCTTGGTTCATTTTAAACGGAGAGAGGATGGAGTGGGACAAGAGCAACACAGCGACAGAGTGGAGGAAATTTGTTCACGCAGACAAAGACACTGAGCAACAGAGGAATCTCGTCATCTCTCCAACACCTTTCTTCCCCAGATTTCAGCCCTGTTGTTCCATCGAAAAATCTAATACAAGCATTGACACAGAATCAGGGAAGTAAACTTGGATACGCATGACTACTCCCACTCAGGCTTGGTGAGAATGAATAAATCTAACACTCTGGTCGCAACAAGGAAGTCTGTTCCTCTTTGTCACGTTGCTGTTCCCTTTTAAAAAATATTTGCCAACAGAAAAGCTCTTCCTACTTTCACTTGACTTCTGTTTGTGATCAGCTTGTAGGATGATGGCTAGACAGAGTTTTTACTGTTTGCTCCGTTTATGATTTGCTTGCATAGACCCGATTTGACAGGGCCTGTATAAACTATACTGGGGGTAAACCGTACTGCGGCCATTGTGACTTATTTTCTTTCTCCTCTGTCATGCAGGTTCAGCCTCTGCATTTTTAATAACTTCTTGAGATAACATCTGAAACTACTCAGGTTGCAGTGGAACAGCTTAGACTAAAACACAGTCAGTGTGTGCCACAACACCGTGTTAGACTGGTCAAGAACAATAAAATCAACATTTTCAAGTACTAAATCTATACGTGATCTAAAAACGTTTTGGTATCTAAATAAAAAAAAGGATTCTCAGATTGTTACTATAGTCGAAGGACAGATGCATCTTTCACAGTATGAGTCATTTCGCTTCAGAGAATAGATACAGGTGCAGCTCAGTAAATTACTAAATAATTGAAAATTTTCATTTCATAGTATGTAGAATTATTGCAAATAGGATGACTACTGAGGACCTTAAAAAATGAATATTCCATTTAAAGTGTTTTCAAAAACTGGAAATGTTCTGTTATAGCCAACACAATCATGGGGAACACTTTATAGTTACCCAAAGGCAGGTACCCTCTACGTAGATGTCAAACTGCAAAATGTTAAAACCCTTTAACTGTCGTGACGACAACAGAGTCTTTATGAACCCGTTGACCTACCAGTAAGTGTTTTGGGGGTGACAGTTAAAGGGTTTTAAAGATGTTGACTGTTCACAAAGTGCAGTATCCATCAATATTAGTAGAAAGTTGAGTGGAAGGAAAAAGTGTTGTAGAAAAAGGGATTCCTGCAGCATTTAATTTTTTTTTTTTTTGTACAGAAAAATAAGAAAGAACATGGGTACTTCTACATTTTGGTTGATTGACCAGCAAAACTGACCTAAACCAAACCCCAATAAAGAATCTGTGGGGTATTGTAAGATAAAACACATGAGATCAAACACTGCAGTTTAACTGAAGGTCATTATTAAAGGTGCTCAGGCTTTCTTAACAACTTAGCAGCACCACAAGCTGATTGTCTCCAACGCTATGTGGCATTGACGCAGTAATTCAAGCAACAGGAGCATTTCACTAAGCTACAACTGCTAGGTTAAAATCCACGTTTCATAATCCATAAGCCTGGACCTTCCAAAACTGAAATAAAGGCTTAAATATACTTCTTGACAATGTCCTAATTTACTCAGATGCACCAGTAAATAGCTCTTTTCAAAAATGGGTAAATAAAACAATGAATGACTTTCAACTTCTACCACTGACTATCTCACTCAGCAGGTGCTCTTTGAATTGCACTTGTGCTAATTATATATAGGCTCATTTGCATTAGAAAAACTTCTCTTTTAAATGAAACTAACATAACACATCCTGCTCAGGAAGTACTTGAGCGTATGGAGAGGAGAGCCTACAAGCCACAATTGGTAGAAGGGGACTGAGAGCTAAGAAGGTGCGTCAAAGCAGGAGAACTACACTTGTGTCTGAAAACAACCCCAAGCCCACTAATCTGTGTTTTGAGAAAACTAAAGACCTACTGGCCTGAATAGATGGCTAATATGCTCATGGCGTCATGTCGGTTTTTAGGAGATTATTGTTGTTAGAGGTTAACGTGTATCCAGCTGATTTGGGAATATTAGAGTAAAATCAAACAAAGTGGTTAGGGGATGTTTTCAGATCAGGCTCTCTCACCTGACCCAAGAAGTCTGGGAGCTGAGGAAAACAGAAACAGAGCCCTTTACCAACCACTATTACTATCATTAACCTCCCCCACATCCTATCTAAATTACAAGTCTGTGCAATGTCAGAACAGGAGCAGGCAAACTCAAGTGATGTTGTGTCAGCTGTGAGCACACAATGGGAATATCAGATGTAATCAAAGTGGCATTTCCTGGACAGGTGCAGGGTAGACTAAAAAATTATAATGAAACTTCTCATTTTGCTTTACACCCATCAAGTCTGGCATTGCACAGAGGATTGACTTGTCTGCAGTAATAAAGCAACAGCAACAGCAGCAGAGCTCCCAGCCCCCACCCACCACCCCAAAAATGAAAATAAATAGAGATGAGAGCGGGGAAAAAAAACAACAAAACAAAAGGAAAAGGTTATACCAGGTGGGGGTTTTCATCCAGTCCATTAGGGTGTCGATTCTCATTGAGGTGCAACAAAACACCCTTAATGGACTTTTTCTGAATAAAGTGACAAAAAGGGGTTAAAACTGGTATAAAAAAATCTATTGTGAAAACAAGATGACTTTTTTTTTTCCCTTTTATGTTGTAATAACAGACTGGCACTTGTCATTTTGCTCCCTTCACTATAAAATGAAGCTTAAGTTTTGGCTGCTTGATGGAGGATGTCATTAGGTATGAAATGAAGCCTTGAGTTCATTCTTACCTGTCAGAGATGTTCTCTTTCAGCTTTAATAGCCCATAATTTAAAGAAGTTCCCTATATTCTATAATTACTCAACTATAAGAAATATTTGTTTTATGAGTTCCTTATAATGTGTCAAACATCATAAGAGTGAAGAGGCCCAAACTGGGGTCACAAGAAATTAGATGCAACAGAAAAGCTTTTTTTAAAATAAATGAACAAAATTAAATTACACGTTTTCTCTTCAAAATTCATTAAAAATATTTGACGACAAAGGACAATAAACTTTATGAAATTATTTAAGTTAATGGCTATGAAAAGGTTAAATAACATATGAAGTGGAAGAAGAAAGGCATGAAGTTGCAAAGAGGAGGTACGAAGAGGCCAACTAATCAAAAAACACAGCAAACATACACTGCCACAGTAAACAATCCTGAGTCCTACCTATGACTTAAGCATCCAGAAAATCGAGAAAACTTCAACCATCAAAAATGTTTTATAATTTGAATAAATGCCTTACATTACATTAATACTTCAGCATTTGATACCATCTGTACCTGGATTCCTGGCTGTTCCCAGAAAAGAGGAATGGATCCTCGGATCTGGATGAACGATGAGATTTTATCATCTAGGAAGACAACCTTTGAAGGAAAGAACAAGAGAAATCCTTAGTGTTTTTCTTTATGAATGAATGTAATTACACAACTAAAATCACTTACACAACGATTAAATATACATTTATAAAAATATTCTGAAACTGGAATGAATAGCAACATAACTTGGAAGACAATCGATAAGCTGAGTTATTTATTTATTTGCAAAATAAAATACCTAAATTTAATGTTATCAATAATATTTAATGACTGACTCAGTAAGAGCTGTGGGCAGACTGAATTACTAGGGGTTTCATTCAGACAAAGTAAAACTGCTGACAAAAATAGATTTAAATCATACTGAAATTGTTAAACGTTTTGCCTTCCATCTGTGTGATAACTTAAGAAAAGAAGGAACTTGTCGACTGAAGCCGTGACTAACCTGTTCAGTCTCCACAAAGTTGGCCACCTGTCCGTCATCGTTGGTTCCTCGCACATTAAATCTCGTGCCGGCTCGCTCCGAGCTGAGGCGAGAGAAGATGCAAGCCTTGGCCTGTTTGTGGCCGGCATAGATGGTCCTGATCTCTACGCCGCCACACATCAGCCTCAGCAGCCAGTCATCACAGTTTACTCCATAGTGTTTGAGGTGCAAGTGCAGAGACTGGTTCCTGTTTGGTTGCAAAGAGGGAAAGATGACTAAATAAAAAGTAGCAAAAACAGATCACAATCTTTGAAAAAAAACAAAACAAATGCACGCCTAAAGGCTATTCTGTAAACTTTAAACAGAGAAATGTTGACATCTCTACCAAAAGAAGCGGTTGTCTGTAGTGTCTTCTAGGATCCTGCGATGCGCATTGAGACTTAGATCCATGCTGATTCCAGTAGCAGACCAGGCAAAGTAGAAGTGTCCTGAGTTTAGGACCTTGCGCACCTCGGAAATCCGGTCCTCATCACCTGGATCGTTCTTCAGAGATATAAAGTCTGTCTGCGTGACCCTGAAGACCTCTGAATCCTGCACCTTCCCCACAGAGCTGCATCCTGTCACAACCACGAGACTGTGCAGCATGGAGTCCCCTGCAAAATTGAGGGATCAAAAGTACAAGAAATGGTTAACTGAACTTTGATGCCATTACTGCATAACAGGAATTCAGCAGCCAGCCTAATCTCAGCCATCAAGAAGACTGAGCTTTAATCTTTCACGCTGGTTCCTTGTTGTGATAACAACACCCTTCAAGGTCACATGAAGGACGGAAGAAAGCAGCTTATGACTAAGGAGCAACAGTGCCACAAACCAGAGGAGAAGCATCATGGTTGCCTGGAACCATTTAGGGAACAATCATTTTCTGTTTTCCTACCCAGGTTTAGCCGGAGAACACCAAGGATTCCATACGCATCAAAGATCCTGGTATAAGTACTTTTAATGGCATCCTTTTCCGCCGCCGCTAAAAGAGACAAAACGGGTAAGAAGAAAACATTATTAGAGCCTGTTCAAATATATCATTTGTAAGTAGTTGACAGATGTTCTAGGATGAATCGCTTGTGTCATACTTCCATTGAAATGCCACTGCTTGAAGGTGCAGTCTAAAGATAGTGTCAATCATATCTCAATTAAAAAACAGATGGCTTACACAAAACGGCAACAGCTCCTGATTCAAACATGAGGCATTCTTCCCTCGCCCTCGTTTCCACTATGACACTGTAAGGTGGTGGATCCAGCTTGTGGTAAATACGGTATCCTTTGCTGAAAGCCATAGCTGATCCAAGATGAAAAAAAAATCCTATGTTATTACCTGGAAACAAAGGAAAGAAATAAGAATCAGTGATCACGAGACATAAAAATACATTTATTTTAAGATTTTTGTTGAATAACTTTAACAGTAGGATCTTTATTTAAGGTAAAACAGAAAATACTTATTTTTTTAAATCCTTATTTATACATCTAAGCATATGTACCTAACCTTTCTTAAATTTCTCACTAATTTAGAAAAGGTTAATCGTTAATTAATTTACTTACAAACTGAAGAGGATGGGAAGCACTTACTTTTGATGCATTTAATCAAAAGAAAAAAAAATGTTCTGTCTTTTAGTGGTTGATTTTGATGTCAATTCAGTTGAACGGTGCATCTCTAAACACATAAATATACCCACTGCCATACCTATCTAGTAGCAAGCTGGACACACTTTGAGGTTCAAAACTGCCTTAATTCAGCAAGGTGTCAGAGACAAGTGGAGATTTTGGGTCATTTTGGCATGATAGCACCGCAGAATGCAGCAGATGTTTCAGCTGCACATCTGTGATGCAATTCCTCCATTACAAATGTTTCCTAAAGTTGGTCCACTGGATTGAGATCAAGCATATGTGAAGGATTGTCATGTTCAGAGAACCAGCTGATTTGAGCTATTTGATTGAAGCTGTGTGACAGGGTGTGTTATTCTGCAGGAAGCAGCCATCAGAACGTAGCTAGACTACTGTCATAAAGGAACAGACAAGGTCAGGAACAACACTGAGAAAGTCTGTGTGTATGATCAATTGTTTGATACAGTTTAAGGTTTACATTTAAGAAAATTGGTGGATTTGTTCCAGGTTGTGCCAATCGCTGCTCAGCTGAACCATGGCACTGTGATCCAAGGCTAAAGGACATCAGATAGCCAAACTCATTTGAAACAGATAAGACCATAATGCCGCCTGCACAACATAAAGTCGGAGATTTGAATAATATCTTAGCAAATGGACCTCTGATCTTATCAGTTTTTTTACTCTGATTCTGAATAGGACAATACATCTTTTAAAGATTGAGACAATGAAGGCCACTGCACATGGGTGAGCAGAGCAGCAGTCTTCCATCTCAAGAGTATGGCAAGCCTGAACAGAAGAAAACCAAAGCACAACACGGCATGCTTTGCATAATACCATTATCTTGCTTATCCATTGTACCAAAGACAGCAGAAAGTTTGGGGTAAACCTACATTTTAATACCAACTTCTAGTTGTTTGCAGCTTGCTACAGAAAGGATCGATAAGTCCACTATTTGTGTCTCAAAATCTAAGACGACTGTATAAACAATAAAACAGTGACAGTTTATTGTATTTCGAAACGTTTCCCTTAAACTGCAAATAAGGGAAACTTGCCAAACAATTACAGGAACAAGAAGGAAAGTTAGGCTGCAAAGTCATCCGTATAAGGGGGGATCAGTGAGGACACTGCCCGACAGAGATGACAAACTAATATTTATTTTAACAGACTCGCTGCAGGGTAGCAGTGATAGAGGGAGATGGTGAAAGTTAAAGGCCGGGGAAGTGGCAGATCATCTTCCCTGACTGATAGTCACGACTTCAAAACGCAGCAGCAGCATACGAAGCAACCGCTAACCTACCAGCTAGCACACAATGCTACATTTTTATGCAACGCAAAGCCATCAAACGAAGCAGGTGAATTACTCGTATGTGAAGAAAGTATTTGCTGTCCTTCGCACGCCTAACGCTAGCTGGCAACGTTAGCCAACTTAGCCAGATTAAATCACAGAGACGGCTATGATTCGCTAGGTTTCATTATTTTGATGGTGGCACTACCTGCGCGTCCTGGGATGATTAACTACCAGCTACTATCGCATTTCTTATCTAGTCCCGCTCATGTAAAACACACACGCTTGCATGTATTTCTAAATGTTGGTTTTATGTAGCAACTATCTGGCTTAATTAAAATATACAGAATAAATGTACTATAAACCCCGTCTTACCGTCTCCCCACCGGGTCGCTGTACCGCTGTCACAACAAAATCCTTCCCGGTGTGTTGGCGGAGTGGTACATTCGGACGTAAAGTAAAGCACGCCCTGCCTCACGTTACCGTAATACTTCTAAAACCATATATGACGGAAGTGCCTTAATTGCAACAAAACTTGAAGTACTTGCCTTTAAAAGCTAGTAAACGTTACTGATAACAACTGTACAGGCACACATGTAAACTACAATTAATACGCAGAAAGAAACTAGAAATATGAACTCGTCCGCCTTTAAACATAATAGACAGTTACTCACATCCAATTAGAGAAGGTTTGCAGTTTTTTCTACCAATCAGATTAGACCAGAGGCGGGACAGCCGGCTTTCATAACCCTGCGCGCTGGCATATATAACAAGACCTCCAGCCTATTCGTAAACACAACAGTGTTTGGAAGTGAATATCGAGCAATAACATGACTGAATTGGCTATTTAATAAGGTAGGTATTGATACTGCACTGTCTCTGCAAAATATTATGATTAATATGAATACTATACAATAAGGCTTTGCCATGTCGTCTAAACGTGTGTTATCGAACTAACCCCGTTCACCCCACAGCATCTGCTAATGTTTCCCATTAAATAAACTCTCTTATGGTTATTAAATTATGTGTTATCTTCCTAATTGGCGGACAAGGTTTGATCATAACATTTCTCTTAGCATAACGATAGTAATACGAGCAGACAAATGTAAATATTATGCTATCTTGTTTAAGCTGTGTGAATGTGTTTTGTTGATTTGCAGTTTTAAAGCAACAAATTGCGGTTTTTCTATCACCCAATGCATCAGTGAGAAAATTAGTTTGCTATTTGATGACTAGCTATGGATCAGTTTTATGTTTTAAAGCTATCGCCAGACTTTTATGTAGAATCAATCAAGCTCTCTGCAGTTTTTCACCTACAGAAGATATGAGGGTAATTTTTTAGATGTGTTTTGCATTTTAGTTGTTATGTAATTGAGAGAAAATCTACAAAAACAAGTCTTCCATGTTTTTGGTGAAATCACAAAGGGCATAAAGCATTAGCGTTATTTTGACGTTGTTAAATTTTGTAAATTAATTGTTTTTTTTATCAAATTATGGAACCCATAGAATTTAGGGAAATTTGGAAGCATTCGAAGAAAGTAAAGAAAAAAGACCCACAGTCACAATTTATCCTTTCAAGTTCTAATCAAAACCTGAAAGCAGTAAGAAAAAAAAAAAATCTCCCACCTGTAGCCAGAAAAACAAGAGCTGTTCAAGAATTATACGTTTCCTTTGCTTTGGTTAATGTTTTTTTTTTTTTTTTTTTTTTTTTTCCCCAAAAAAAAACTACATATTTATAGCAAAAGAAAGGAAAAAAAAACATCTATTTTCTTGAAAAGATGTGTTCTTGAACATCTGTTCAAGACAACATAGATTTATGGAAAATTAAGGACATGTGACTTAAGAATTAAAAAAGAATTGAAAAGAAACCCTAAACATATTTGAAAACGCATATAAAATGAAGAAATTCAGATTTTTCTGTTACCTCCCCATATAAAAAGAAATTCAGTTCTAAATCATGTAATTTCAATTTCATATGCCTCTTGTGATGTCCTTGACACAAATACACTTGAAGATTAAATTATGCTGGTTAATTTGCATGCTGTCTTTTTATTGTGAGTGAATATGCTCGTGAAAACAAATGATTAGTACTTTTAAAGACCAGTCTCGGCTCCCGGTTTATGTGTATGCATCTCTAAATATCTCATGTTCTTATCCTGCTTTTTTCAGAAACTTTAATTTATACCTCCTCAACATGAAGCGCCTTTACCTGGTGGAGCCGGTGGTGGCTCTGTATGCTTTTAGCAGTTTTCTCATCTACCCGCTGGTCCAGCAGTATGTGTACAGGAGGCTCTGGCAGCAGCTGACCAACACTCCCTATCCCGTCTCAGACAACACCTCCAGATGTGCTCCAAGTAACAGCAGCAGCAACCAGACTGACTTCCATAAGGTTCGTTCATAATGAAAGGATGCAAGGAAGGAGAGGATATGTTTATTGGTTATCTAATTTAAATTTTGATAATGTTCTGTTGTTTTATGTAAATAAATATCAGTCCCAAATGTGATTCCCTCTAGCTCTCTGTACTGATGTCTTTTAACATTTTCATGAAAAAAAAACTATCCATCATGAAAAATCAATATTATTCTGTAATTCTAGCTGGATGTTATGCTGTTTATTAATCCGTAAAAACTGGTCAACTCCTAATGACCAATGCATATGAGCTTTGCTGAAATATTTTCATCCCTGGAAAATTTTCACATTTCACACAAAGTTTTGGCCAGGTTTTCTTTTTTTGTTCGTTTTTGTTTTTTAAATTTTTCCCACAGATGAAAATCTGATAATGTGGTGAGCATTTGTATACCCCTTTTAATTTCATACCCCGCAATTAATTGGTTTGAGAAGTTGCATAATTTATAATTATGCAGCTTTAATATTTCAAAGTTAAAGGGTATATTGTTGTTGCACCTGAGCAACATTGTTTATTCATTACAATAGCATTTTTGTTGCAAAATACTTTAGAATGCTAATTTGGTGGATACATTTAATTGATATTCAAAGCAGACATGTGACTCAAGCTTAGCCTTCTGAACTTGACTTCAACACCCTGAACTAACAACATAATCTCAAATCATTTCCGATCCAATAGCAGCTTGCAGTGTTCAACGCACCAACATAATTTGATTTTAAGCAGATTAAAAGGAACATGCATTCATGGACTAGTAATGTCATGCCATCAACAAATGTGAAAATAAAAGTAGGAAGTGAAACGCACTCACACAAGAATAATCTGTTTTTATCTGAAGACACAGCTGCCACAATGGCACCTGCGTAGCAGTAGAGCTTTGTTCCTCTTGCTTTTTCTCGAGAAAAACCTCACTTGTTCTCACAATCTCTGCCATCTGAATAACAGGTTTTACAGGTATTAGACAAAGATTTCAGACTCTCTAACATTTTTGTGTTATACTGGTTTAAAACTCAAATTAAAGTGTCAGTCAGCAGAGTTTTTTTTTTTTTTCCAAGATCTTTGGAGCATAGATTAAAGATCATTGATCCACCTGTTTCTGTAAACTGCCAGATATCTGGCTGAAAGAAGACCCTCGTGTACAAGAAAGCCAAATCGATCTGTTTAGAAACATCTCCCTGTCAAAAACATTGACTGTAGTGGTTTAAAACTAAAGGGACCCCTCTCGTTGCTCTTTTTAGGTGTTAAAACTACAGTTTTAAAAAGCAGTATGCAGCATGTCTACTATGAAGGTGACTGTAGACTCTCTACAAGAGCAGATAGACCCACTAATTCTTTGTAAATATTGCTGTAAACCTGTGTCAATCAATCAATCAATTTCTGGAGTACTTTTCAGTTAGGGTAAAGGAAACAAGTTCTTTACTTAAAATAAAACAATAACAAGCAACAGCGAAAGTCTGCTGGGATAATTGGGGTGATGACGCGACACTAGAACATTCAGTGTATGCATCTAAGCAGTAATTGATTTTATTCTAACCTAAATTCCCTGTGTCTGCTTTTCCAGGAGGTGCAGAAGCAGGCGTCTCTTTTCTCCCTTTACTCGGAGCTCCTCTCCACAATCCCATCTTTGATCGTTACTCTTGTGCTGGTGGCCTACAGCGACCGGGGCGGACGCAAGATCACCATCGTTATGCCTCTGATCGGCACGCTGATTTATACCAGCACCTTCCTGACTGTGTCCTTCTTTGAGCTCAACATCTACCTTCTCATCGGCTCTTCCTTCCTTAGCTCTCTGTTTGGGGGTATCAGCACTTTCCTGGGAGGCTGCTTTGCCTACATAGCAGACTTGTGCCAAGATGACCGGCAGAAGACGCTGCGAATGGCTGGAGTGGATATGATGATTGGACTGTTGTCTGGAGTGGCCGCAATATCTACAGGTTACTTCCTGAGAGCTGCAGGCTTTAACTGGCCTTTCTTAACTTCGGCCCTGTGCCAGTGTTTGATCCTAGTCTATGCAGTTTTTATCCTGGAGGAGACGGTAAGAAACACTCCCGCTGATGGCAGTGATATAGACGGGTCTCCCCAGCGCCCTGGGTTGAGACAGTTGATTTTTGGGCTCTGCCAGATCTTTGCAAGAGCAAGCTACAAGTGTAAAATAGTTTTAGCCCTCCTGATAATCATCTTCAGCAGCTTCACCTTCACCTACATTGGAGGCATCTCCTTGGTGACGCTATACGAGCTAAACGAGCCACTGTGCTGGACTGAGATTCTGATTGGCTATGGCTCAGCACTGTCCACCACGGTGTTCCTGACCAGTTTCCTGGGAGTGTCGGCGTTCACATACTGTGGAGTCCCGCAGCTGCTGATCGTTGCGTTGGGGATCCTGTCTGTGCTGTCAGGACTGATCATGGTGGCGTTTGCAAAGACCACAGTTCTGATGTTTTTAGGTGAGTTTAAGCTGCCGAGTCGTAATTAAAGTTATTAAACTTTGCACAGTCGTTACTTGAACTAGACAAAAATGCAACCCCAAGAATTTGAAAAGTAATAAAAAAAAATGTAATTTATTTCAATAAGTGGAACATTTATATTACATAGACTCATTACACACATAATGATATGTTGATGTTGTTTTTCTGATACAAACATTTTACAGTATAGATGACACTATTGTGAAGAAGACGACTGAGTTGACATTTGTCCACCAGAAAGTCAGACACTTAACAGAATCAGACAGTAAACAACAAAAAGATAATTGGTAAAGAAGCTGACAGGTCAGAAGGGTTTATCCAAGCATGTGGAAGTGTGGAAGAAAATGATTCACAAGTAAATGATGATTCACTATATACCCCAGTGACCTTACAAGGATAAATGGGTAAAGATGGATGGATATATTTATTTACGTGGATACAAGTAAATATCCCTTGCCCTATAAATTATTTCCATTATAGATTTGAATTATTATAATCTAATATTCTAAGAAACTGAATTCATTATCTGAAAGCCTTAATTCTTGAAATTGACAGATATAAACACTTGAAATATGAGTCTCTGTCTGAGGA